CACAAGGAGAATTTATGAGTTTGTTTTGCAGAAGGAAAGAATGTCTCCAAGGTAGCTGTGACCAGCTGCCGCCGCCCAGAAGTCTGGCTGCACAAATTGTTATCTGTGACTAAAGAAACACAGACTTCTCTCTCAGTTCCCTGAAAATCTCTATTCCCCACCCCCTAAATGCATAAAACTCTCTACTTTAGCTTTTTTAGGTAGACTCATTTGAAAGATCTTGATCTCTTGTCCTCTGTCTGGCCAAATTGAATGAATCTTTATCTCCAACAACTGGTGTTTCAATGTTTTGGCTTACTAGTGCATCAGGTACACAAACCTGAATTTTAGGAGGTGATTTTGTAACAATATGATTGATGGAGAGTAACAAAATAAAACTGGCTAACCAAACCAGGAACTGGAAAGTTAATAACCAGTTCTTGGAGAGGACTGCTGTGGGAGGCTATGTCTTGGGGACAAAGGAGAAGCTGGAGCCTCTCTTTAGCTGTGGTTATAATTATTGAAAAGCCTCAGTGTGTCTGAAGAGTTGGCAGGAGCATTCAAGGGTCATGGGCAGAGGTGGCCTACTGGTATGTGGGTGGGAGACCTGTAGAGAACTGGGGAGCAGGGGGCCTAATCCTTGATGCTGTCACCTCTCAAACACTGTGTGGTGCCTGGAGTGGCACCCACTTATAGAAATGAAATAAAGTGGGGTTGGCCACTCCTCAAAGCTCTCACCATATGGCCTGCCAGCATGATATAAATAAGCTAGGATACTCCTGGTGGGCATCCCAAAGTATTTACGGAAAATGGAGACTTGGTTCCAGAAGGCAAAGTACCTCAATATACAAACAGTGCATTGTCCCCTGCGAAAGGGGTGCTCAGAATCACAGCATCTCTTCCTCCCAGCTCACAGGCCAAAGGATGGAGGTCAGAAAGAAAGCAATGCATTCTTTCATGAATAACTGTTGTTAGCAAGGATGTGGCGTAAGGGCAAGTGGAGACTCTGAGCAACTCCCCTCTTTATCTGCCAACTCCCACTACTACCTGCATCCTTGGCTGGACAACTAAGACCGTTCAAGGCTTTTCAGAGTGTCAGGGGTTCATTATATTCCGAGGATGGAATGATTAATATGTCAGTATCCAGTGTTCTGACCAGAGACTCTAAATGTGTAGACAGACAAAAAATGCTTGAGTAGCAACTTCTTTGTTCCCAGGATTTTAGAGCCAAAAGCACTTGGCTCAGAGCAGAGAAGTCCGGGCTCAAATCCTTACTTAGTAGCTGTGTGACCTCAGGTAAGAGACCTGCCTTGTCTGGGCCCAAGCTTCCACAAAAGCAAGTACTGGTAATAGTACTGCCTTCCTGGAGTTGTGGGAGACAAAAGGGCCAGTCTGACACAGAAGAAGGGTGCAACCATTGCGCATTGGATTGTGCTGAGACAATTACTCTTGGAGGCCTCACAGGCCAGGAGAATGTGCATTGGAGGGCTGGCAGCTGTGAAATGCTGTTGGTGAAGGGTGTCATGCTAACAGTCTTGGGTGGGTTGTGAGAGCACTTGCCACAGAAAACCCCGAACAAATATCCTGCTTTGACATTGGAACTGCAGAACCAGCTTGTTTCCCCAGAGATGGCACTCCAAAGAGTCTGCCACCCTCCATCCCTTCAGCCTGCTCCCTTCATCCAAGGGCCTGCTTTTAGTAAGCTTGTTAGGCAAACTTTTTTTTTCTTTTGAAGCTTTTATAGTTGCAGGGTTCCATGGGAAATATCTTTGCTAAAGATGTGCCTTAAGACACCCAGATGTTAGATCTGGGGAGGTGTCTTTTCTGAGCACATTTCCCTTTGGACATTGGTATTTTTAAAGCTCAGCACAAGGTTCAAAGGGAGACTCAGAGCTGGACAAGTGAGGGGTGAATACTCTCTGCTGAGGGATGGAAACACTTGCTCCTATTCATTCCAATGGGAATTAAGCCTTCGCGTTGACCAGCCACCAACCACCTCCCTTGTCAAAGTCTTCCTAGCAAGGACATGAATTTGTGTTTCTAAAGAATCACTCCATTTACCTGACCAGTCAAAAACCTGATACATGAGGGCATGCAACCCAGGATCCCAGGAGAGCCTGTGTGCTGTATATTCATACCAGGCTCTTACGTGTGTTTAAAGCCTTCAGTGGAATTTTCCATTATTTCAAAAATGAGATTAAAAACTCTGAGAGTTGCTACTTTTAAATAAAGAGGGCTTGGCATATTTTATTCTCTCTCTCTTTTTTTTTTTTTTAATTTCTTTTTTTGCCCAAGTACCTTCAGATGGTGAGATAAATGACTCAGATTTGCACCTGGATGTTTCCTCTCAAAGATCTCAATGCGAGGTCCCTCTCTCTTTTAACCCATTGTTGTCTTGGCACAGCTGCTGCAAAAATAATTGTTTTTACTAGAGATTGCACATTTGAGCCAGAGCCATTATGGGGGGATACTAGCAGTTGGAGAAGCCCCTGTCCCACACTGACTCCCATCACTAAGTGAAACCTGCATGCAGAGCAATGGCCCCCAGCCACAGGCTGCATGGACTAGTAATTATAAAACAAGAAAAGTAGCTTAATGATCATAAATACTAGCTGGAAGCAGGCACCCAACCATAGACTTTGAATCAAATGTATTTAAATCCCAGGTATGTCCTTGACTGATTCTGCCACCATGGGCTTTTTTTAACCTCTAAGCCTCAGTTTCCTAATCTGTGGAATGGGATTAATGTTGGTTTCATTCATGTCAGGCTTAAACTAAACAGCATGTGTTTTGCCTTTGGTTTTTCTGGGTCTTAAAGTTGTACAATTTTTTATCTTTACTCAAATATTCTTTGACCCTGGTGGATCACATATGGCACCATGATGTGTGTTTGGGAGGCACTGGGGGTATTAGATCTAGTTTCTAAAACTAGATTAAAATTGAATGGAGATGACATGGGTGGATCTGATACCCTTTGGCTCCCCACAGACCCCACCACTCGCTAGAGCCTCTTACCAGACTGATTCATAAGGAGCTGCTGACCCTGGAAGCCTGGGAGTTTTAATCCCTGATAAAAAAATGTCTCTTTCCTATACATTAGGGATGGTTTGCATTTAGTTGCCTTTTCTCTGACTCAGAGTGCCAGGAGGTCAAATTGTTTTTAAAATTTATTTACTGATTTTTTTTTTTTTCTGAGAGAGAGAGAGACAGACAGACAGACAGACAGACAGACCTGTAGCTCCACCTATCCATACACCTACTGGTTGACTCCTTATAAGCCAGGACCAGGGATTCAACCCACTACCCTGGCACATACAGATGACACCCCCACCAACAGAGCCATCCAACCAGGGCATAGAAGGACAAATTTCATAATAAATCTAGAGTCCAGCTGCTCAGGTCCCAAGGAAACCTGGGAAAGCTAGAGCGCCTCATTCCATTGTACATGGTCCTTAGGAAGCCACTGCTTTCATGACTTCAAATTTCTAAGGTAAGACAGGAAACTGAGGGAGATGAGTGGCAAAATGATTTGCTTAACCCTGAAGATAATCCAGTGTCTTCCAGATACCCAGGGTTGCTTCCTGTCCACTGGCTGTAAGTCTACAGGGGGTTGTTGCCTCCACAGGCAGGGCTAGGGACCACACCCACCTAAGCTCTCAGGTTAGTCCCACTAGTGGGTGATCCAGACAAGTCCTCTCATCTTGCAGAACCTCAGTCTATTAGTCTGGGACTGTCTTGTTTGGGTAATCACACAGCACCCACCTGGTACAGAGCATAAAGGCAGAGATAGGTGCTGGCCTTTTGATAAATAGGATATAGGTTGATTCACTGAGCAGCATCTTAATAGATGAATCCCAATTTCTGGGGTTGTGGAGTCTGCTCAGACCCAGTGTCCCAGGTACACTATTGACCTTGACCTTTTGTTGATGCTGACCTTTGTGCCTGGTCCCATAGGCAATGGCATTGACCAATGGCACAAACTCCCGGCTTATCTCCCCCAAAGCCACCTTGCCTCTTCTAAGTTTCTGGTTTTTCTCTTATAGAAGGCAGTACCACTCTGCTCGGGGGGTCTGCAAGATACTCCTGGCAGAGCAGTGGCTCCTAGGAGATAGGGTTCATGGGTTACCCAGTGATCTAACCTCAGGTTAGCCCTCAACACTTACTTGCTGCTCAATATGTGGTCGAACCAGACTACTGGTGTTCTGCAAATGAGCTGTCCTCTCTCCATGCCGAGGATCATGGAGTTTCTTCCACCCAAACCCATTTCTTCTGATCCCCCTTCAGGCCAGCACCACTGCCACAACCCATAGGACATTTGGCCTGGCCTAAATCCATTCTGCTGTCTGCTAAACTATCCCAGTTGTGCCCCTCTTCCTGCATTCTTGGTCTGTGAAGTTGGGTGGGGTTGACACTGATCCCCTTCCTGGACAAATAACTCAGGCTTGGACAATCAGCTAATAAGAATCAGCCCTGGGACTTTTCTTGGAAATAAGTGTTGTTTTCCCACTGGGGTTGCTCATGTAAAGCTGCCAGTGGCCATCTCTGCCCCGACTTGGGCGAAGTTTGGTTGGGAATGAAGCCGAACCAGGGGATATGAGACCTGAGGAGAACGAATGGTGAACAAGATTTTTAAGCCCCTGGATCCACTCCTGCCGTAGGCCTTTAGTTTATTCACCAATAAATCTCACTTTTAAATTTGCTTAAATTGTTTTAAGTTTCTGTCACTTACAACCAAAAGAAACTTGGCTGATGTACACACAACTTTATCTTGTTAACACCATTGCATGTTTAGGGCACAGCTCAGGCATCATGACCACACATCCCTTCCCTCCCTATCCTACCCCCAGACACCATCTCATGCATCTTCATGTCCCCATAACTTCATGCAGGACCTCAGCATAAGGGCAGCAAAATGCCACAGATAGAGCTAAAACTTGGATGTCCCACTGGGCTGCTACTTTCACTCCCTCACCAGCTTCTGCTAACCAGCCCCCCACCCGCCATTTCAGAGAGACTCTCACCTCTGTCTTATTCCGAGAGAGCATGCTGGCATCGATCGGGCCCAGGGACATGTTTGGCAGGACAAGGTTGAGAACTTTTGCTGCAAGGACCTAGCCAGGGAGGGAAAACAAGGATGTGAGTGCAGTGGGATCTGTGCCCAGCTTTGCCCACGGGACAGTTTACAGTAAATTAAGAAAAGTGACACTCAAGCTGAACATCAGCCAGGTTTGTTTCCCAAAGCTGAGTGCCCCAGGACTCTCCCTGCTGTTACTCAGACAGCCTTGAGTTAGTCTGGCATAGATCCCTGTGGGGAGTGGGTGAGAGGCAGCCGCCAGGGCTGATAGAGGGAATGCCATGTCTATTTTTCTCCTGCTCTGGAGCCTGTGTGGTAGCTCTCCCCACACTCGTCAGTCATGATTTTGAATTATTTTCAGGAGCTGCCTGGCTGAGCTCTTCTGCATGAGCCACTCCTCAGGGGAGTCTAAAAAAAACACCACAGGAGCAGAGTCACCTAAGTCACCTGAGAGTGAAACCAGACAGCTTAGAAGGCGCGAAAGGAACCTGCTCTGATCGAAAGAATCTGTTGATTGGTTTGGTTTCTCCTGGAGGGGAATAAAAACAGTTGCCAAGCCTGATTAGGAGATGTGTAGCAGAGGGAACGAGGCCTGACTTGATTCCTGGCTGTGATGCCTTACACATGTCGACTTGAGAGCTGATCGCAACTAAGCCTCTGTTTCTTTAGCTGCCAAGGGGCACCACTGTGTACAAAAGCACCAGACACACAGTAGGTGCTTAATATATGCTCCTTGAGCTTGAACCTGATTCCAGTACAGGCCTTCCTGCCCCGACCCTACTCATTTCTCTGGCCAGATCTGGTGTGCTGTTTACCCAGGAAAAGCATGAACTTGGATCTCACACTTCTGCCTGTAGAGGGAGACTGTTCTCATTTCTGCACTGTGCACAGATGCTCAGGGATGAGAGATGCTATTCCAAAAGTGAGCTGGGAAATGCTGAAATTAGAATCACATAGAAGGTGGCAAACAGTGAATTCTCAGTGCATGTTGAGGGCGAATGTCATGGAGCTAAGTGATGTCCCCTCAGGACCCTTGGTGTGGAAGCAGGGCACTAACATCGACTGAGTAACAATTTTTTGATGCATTGGCACAGTCGTAGGTGCCCAGTCATTTAATCTTGGCACAAATGCTGTGAAGTGAGGATTTATCCTGATTTAACAGACAAGAGAACAGAGGCTCAGCACCATTCCATGTGGCCAGCTGGAAAGGGGGCAAGGGTCTGAGTGAGACTACTCTTTCCCTTTGTGCCACCAGCCTTCATTATTCTTTCTCTCCTCCAGTATATTGGTAAATGCAACTGTGATGGTCAAGAGCAATTGGCACTGATACTCTACATGGTGACACAATTGTTGTACTGCCCAACTTCCCTTTAAACTCAAAGCTATAAAACGTCCTATTCTTCAGGCTGCACAAGTGTGATGTACACCCTCATGCTGCCAAGGATCAGGCAGGGCTTTGCTTCTAAAAGAACACGCATGCATGTGCCTAAGCTGAAGTTCACATGGCCAACTCTCCATTTTTCAGTGCAAAGATGGCAGCCTCCTGCCTCTAAGACAATTGTAGGTCATTGCATCTCAAGTCTGGTGTCCGAGCAAGTAAACCCCATGCATGTTGACTTGCTGCTATCAATGTGCCAGGGACTAGTGCCAGGCTCTGATGATAGTCTAGCACAGAAATATAAGGAAATCCACCTTGAGCACTAGGTTAGTACTTGAGCTGGTCCACGCAATCTGAAGCCTCATAGAATGGCTCTGGGAGCACTGCAAAAGGAAAGGACGTGGGTGTTTCCAAACACAAGTCAAATCTGACCTCCAGGAACTGGGGGCTCTTCTGGGAACCTAAATTCATAAATTGGTATCTACGCTTTCAAAGGCTGAAAATTTTTAATAAAGAGAAAACACAGCAGATAAGAAATGCACTGCAGTTTCATAGAGAGGCAGTGGGCACCAGCCTTGCAGCCTTCAGTGGGCTCCCATTGTGTAAGGAGGGTGGACTTTTAGGGATTATCTCTTTTACCAAGGGCAACACTATTAGGAAAAAACTTAATGTGGCCCAAAGTTTGTAGAACTGACTTTTTGCCCTTCTGCTGTTTTTGATAACTCATGCCCATAGCTCCCTTAGTAGACATAAGGGCTGATGGTTGACTCCACATGTGACCTTGCCACTCCCAGGAATCGAGGGGCAATTGTGTTTGATAGGGCCTGCTTCAAACATCAGTCTCCAGACCCTGCTGCCTCATTTGGCCTGTCGGCTTGGCATGGCTTTCTCAAGGACATGGCTATTTTTCTGCAAACCAACTTTCAACTCATTTCCAGCTGAGATAGATGACCGCCAGGAAAAGTCCCAGGGACATAGTACCCTGGTACTAACCCTGCAATAGAACCAAGGAGAGAGACCACACAGTGCCCATTCCACTTCCTTGAAGCCCACTAGCAGATTTCTCATTTGCCAACAATTTATGTTTTGTTGCTCATCACCTGATTCTGCATGGATCTGGGCATGCTGGTGCTGGCCATTTGTGAAGAGGCAGGTTTATCTTCATCTTTGAATCTGTGTCCTGGCACTTATTAAACCAAAATATTTATACCCCAAAGTGTCAAGGCCTCTATTTCCAGGAGAAGATTCTGACAGTTTATGCTGGACAAGAATCAGAAAAGGCCATGTTATAGCTGGAAACATCCTTTCTCTGGTTTCACAGGGGGTGGTGAGGGAGACTAGAAAACCAGGAAGGCCTCTGCCTCCAGGAGAAAATTATAGGAAAAAAACTTGTTCTGTCCTTTTCCAGAACCAGTGGTATTTTCTTCCCCTTAACAGGGGAACTTTCTGTAGCTAAATGACTCTTTTAGGAAAATAGTTTCATATGAAAAAAAGGAGCATTTCTGGAAAAGTATCTGCTTTGCACAAAGTGAACAGTGCAAGGGTTTAGTCCTTAGAGGAAGTGCAACAATGGCAGATCAATTGATTGACCACCTTACCTTCCCCTTCCAAGTACGAGAAGCCAACTCCTGGTGAGGACTCCTGCAACTGCCAATGACTTACTGCTAAAAGCACTAACAGGAGGAGATATGACAAGGACACATCATGCTTAGGACTGGAGGTGGCAGGTGGCTGGCCCAGTAGATGTGTGTAGCTATATGCTTCCAACCACAAAGACTCTGGGGGCAGGGTAGGGTGGGGTGGGGTGCGGCAGCTGTTCTCGATTCTCTAGGGGAGGTGATGCATGTGGATTCAGGATGGATGAATGCCCCTAAAAGGACCAGCTCATTATGACACTACTCCAGTAGCTGAATGTAATGGAAGATACTGGTTCCTAGCAATGAGAACTGGTTGTTCAGTTACAAATATAAATGACGGGTCAGTGTGAAGATATTACTCTTTGTTCTCCATTCTGCATGGTTGGGTCCTGTCACTAAATCCTGCAGGATGTCACCCCCAAGAACAGAAAAGTCTCAGCCTAGATGATTACCAAAACCTGAGTGTGAATTAACACTTGGGAGAATGTGTGCAGAGGCCTGAAGTGGATACACTCCTCACAGGAGGGGCACCAGGAGGAAAAATAATGAAGAAGGTGTTTTGAGTCAGGGATTCTCTTAAAGTGACTTATGGCTTCCTGTCTTCCCAGTAAGATAGCCCTCTGTTTTGAGCATTCTGTTTTTTCTATTTGGTTAGTTTATTGGTAGGGGGCACAGCACACCCACCTGGCAGCCTGCCCTTTCCTGATACTCTATGGCTTCCCTGCTCTAACAGTGGCCCTCAGACAAGCAGCACCATCAGCTCCTGGAGATGCTGGGCCTATCAGACCAGGATATGTATTTTCACAGGAACACTTGAGGCATTACTGTGTGCTCTAAAGTTTGAGGGACTGGCAGGTGCAGTGTCTCAGAGAAGCGTCACAAATGCCTCTTCCCAGATCCCACAGACAGATTCTGATTGAGTTGGGACCCTGGCATGAGAGGTTTTTTTTAGGCTCCCTAGGTGATTCCAATGTGGAACAAAAGTAGAGAGTGTTCCTGACCCACACAGGTTGGAGGGGAGGGGCATGGATGCCTCAGAAGAGATGTTTGGATGGCCCTGACCCTCAGCTCTTTTTCTAAACCTGAACAGTAAATTCCAAATCATATTTCTAACAGGACTTAATTGGGGAGTGGCAATTAATGTCATAGTTAAAAAAATCTTGGTGCTTAGCTTCTTCCCCAAAAAAGATCCAAGAAGGATGAAGGGGCAAGGATGCTTTGAATAGTTGCAAAAGAGAACCACCCATCTCCCTGCTGTCCTTTTCAGGTTTAATTATTTCATTACCCTAATGTCTGATGGAGGAGAAAAGGGTGAGCTGGGGGCAGAAAGAACTAAGCAAAAGCAGTGTTGACTGTGGCAATGAAGGAAGACAGAAGGGCTGAGAAGGGGGTCTTGAGGTCCAGTAATAAGAAAGCAGTGGGGAACAGAAAGAACCTGGCAGACTCCACACACAGAAGGATTGGTTTTGTCCTGGTTGCCCCAAGTGGCTGCTGTTGCTTCCTGTCATAAACTCCTTCAGCCTCCATTGTCAGCCATGAGAGCCCTGTACCTGTTTCCAAGGGAAAACAAAGGAAGCCATGACACAGGTGAGGGGGAGGTGGAGTAGCTCACCATGAAGATGATGAAGTCCAAGGTATTACCATTCTTGATGTCATTTCTACCAAACTCTTTGAATAATCCTGAGAAAGCCTCAGTTCCAGCTCAGGAGAGGGATGACCCTGAATGGGTCGCCCTTGAAAGTGAGAGACTCTCACCATGATCATGACCCCAACAAGTTAAGTCAGGTCTGTGCAACCACAGAGATCTCAGTGACACTGACTCAACAGGGACCCCAGATCTCATTGCCTGAAGGTAATTTGTGGCTGAGACTCACAACGAATGGACATACAGTCATTGACTACCAGCCCCAGAAAAGGGAGGTGATGAAGTAGAGCCATCAGACTCAGAGACTGGGAGTCAGGCAAATTTGCATCAGACCTCTGATTCTGCATTCCCAAGAAAGTCTCTTATCCTCAGTTTCT